TTGATAAACACAAAAACTATTTGTCAAGTATTATATTTTACTAGTCTAATCTAACAATTAAAAAGTGATTTTCATGTTAAGATTAAAAATACTTTTCTTCATCTCAAAAATCTGAAATATCATTTGGTAATCTCTGGAACTTCTGACATACATTTCAGATGTTTGTTTTCAGTAAAATTTTATATTTTATTGGTTCTTTTATATACCCTAACTCTATACAAGGTTGGTCAATTTGACCTTTTTTTCTTTCTAGAATGACTTCAAATTGTAACATAAAATGATATTCATTTATCCTAAGTATTATTAAACTCTTAACAATATACATCTATTTATACTTAAATTTTATTCTTTTATTGCCCTTTGAACCATGTCTAACTACCATTCCTGCCATTATAAGTTGTAAATCACTTGGGGAATGTGGAATAAACACGAAAAACAAAAAATAAGGTACTTACCCGAGTCTTCTTTTTTTTTTGCTGTTGACTGTCGATGACACTTAACCCTGCTTTTTTATACTAATGGTAGTAATGCACTAAATAATTTTCATTTAATTAAATAATGCACCAAAGAACATAGAATGATAACATGCAAAAAGCACACAATTTCCCCTAACTATAACAATTTTTTTGATTTGATAACTATGCGACAAGAGTCATTACAAATTCATCCAAACTAGTCATTGTCTTTCCTGTGGGAATGAAGCTTGTACTAACAGAGAAATTGACAATTCTCCATTCAGAAAACAAAATAATATAATATATCATTTGAGAGATGAAAACCTTGGCTTTGTATTGGTTATACATATTATAGAATTCAATGTAAGAGAGAACTATTAACAAATCCTGAAAGAGAGGTTGTGACAAGTAGGTGTGGCAAGAGGGGTCGGATTTTATATTTGATAGTTCTGTAACCAAACAAAATTGAAGGCTATAAAATTTATGGTTTGTCTGAGCAATGACAATTTTATAGTGAGTAGCTTATGCTAAATTTCATACTTATTGGAGGTATGGTGAATAAAATAGAGAAGAGTGGATGGATAGAGAAAATGTCACATTTCTCACACTAGGGGAAATTCAGGATTTTTTTAAATATTGCCTTATAAAATTAAGAACTTAAAATTTATATACTATTAAAATATGGATTATTAGCTATGATTTTATGCCATACTAATTGGTATAACATAAAGAGAAAGTAGTTTAAAAAATTGTGAATGTAAGACACTAAAATATCGTGACATGTGCAGTAAATGATGCTTGGGCAGAAAGGGTTAAAGAGTAATTTATTAAAACCATAAACATGGATCTAATAGTAGTTCTAATAAGCCAGGGTTTTCCTTGTTTATTTGAGGTATGCCTAATCATATAACTAAGAACTGTAAGCAATGCTTCAATACAACCACAACTGCAGGTGATGGTTTGGAAATCTCAATAAGTACAGTTGAAAATAGCCACAGTAATCTTCATATTACTCAAACATCTTCAGATGGTCACCTACAGATGCCAGGTAGTGGTGAGTGTAAAGATTGTACAGCAAAAGATAAACCAAAAACAGCATGTATGGTTCGTATATATAGTTAAAAATAATCCCCATTTCCAATTAGCAAGAGAACAAGGGTTTGTTACTTTGCAGTGTGGACATACATTATTACCAATGCTTTTATCAGCATGTAACACAAGCCAGGCTGAGACACTACCTGTAAGTGAGAGTTTAATAGGTTCCAAGAAAGTGAGTGTATTATGAGATACCATATCTAGTGTGTTTTTATAGATGGAATAGCATGAAGAATCCCCCTGGCAGGATAGATGTTAAAACACCATATTACTCGAGTGTGGTAGAAACTATGTCTAATCCTACATATAATTTAGAACTGGGGAACACTGCAGGGGTTAAGAGATTAGGTGGACCAGATATGACATGGCAGGATGTTAAGCAGACAGACAAATTGGTACAAATACTAAGTGAATTTAATATGATAAGTGAAGTAGATAATGTAGTGTTGCAACTCATGGGAAAATGTAGTGCTGTAGAAACTAGAATCCAGGCTAGAAACAGAAGTAAACTCTATAAAGGTCTTAAAGTTGTTGAATCCTATGATGCAGAAGTTATAGTTGAAAAGGTTAAATATCAGCTCAGAAGTTGAGACACAGACCAAAAAATAGGTAGGGAAAAAAATGTTTTTAATGGATAAAGGCATTACATTTTGACACCAATTGTCAAGTTTGGAGACACCATCAAGCACATTATGGTTCTGTGTGATTTTAGGATGAAGGTCATGAAAGATGCACAGAACTAAATTCTAGGAGGTCACCAAGGTACAATAAAGACTGCTTACAAAGTAGTGTTCAATTTTTTCTGCCCAAGATTGCAAGGAGATGCTTGTCGCGAAGGATTGGATAACCAAAGTACAATTAGGGGATGTGCCAGTAATTGATGTATCATTTGTTTGAGTTGCAGATGATTTGGTAGGTCTAATCAACTCCACTTCAGAACAAAGACTACGCTACCAGATACTCAGAAGCAGCTCTGTTGATTTGATAGGTCTAATCAGCTCTACTTCAGAAAAAAGAATATGCTACTAGATACTCAGAAGCAGCTCTGTTGATTTGATAGGTCTAATCAGCTCTACTTCAGAAAAAAGAATATGCTACTAGATACTCATAAGCAGCTCTGGTGATTTGGTAGGTCTAACCTGCTCTACTTCAGAACAAAGACTAATGCTACTAGATACTCAGAAGCAGCTCTGGTGATTTGATAGGTCTAATCAGCTCTACTTCAGAACAAAGACTATGCTACCAGATACTCGGAAGCAGCTCTGGTGATTTGATAGGTCTAATCAGCTCTACTTCAGAACAAAGACTATGCTACCAGATACTCGGAAGCAGCTCTGGTGATTTGATAGGTCTAATCAGCTCTACTTCAGAACAAAGACTATGCTACCAGATACTCAGAAGCAGCTCTGGGGATTTGATAGGTCTAATCAGCTCTACTTCAGAACAAAGACTATGCTACCAGATACTAAGAAGCAGCTATGTTGATTTGGTAGGTCTAATCAGCTCTACTTCAGAACAAAGACTATGCTACCAGATACTCTAGATGTTTACTTGCTCTTTGTACAAACATTAACCTATCAGGAAAATTAAATGTTGCAAGTATACTTTACATAAATAGAGCCATTCCAATAAATGCACATCTCTAGTGTGTATCAAATAGTATTTAAAGAGCTTTTATTTAAAAAGTTTTTTTAAATACTGTAACTTGTGAAGACATTTTGCTTAAAAAAATTTAATATTGAGTTTATTCACTTTTATGGAAAATGTAAGTTTTATTACTGCAGTGAACCACTAGACATACTGTATGATACTCTAAAGGGTTGAAGGATGTTTGATGAGTCCTTTCACTTTGTAATGTGTATGGAGTGGTTGAGTGTATTTTATCTTATTTTGTGTTAGTCATTTGAGAAAGTATCAAATCAGTGTTCTTATGGAGTAACAAATGTTTTAAATTGAATCATTTATCACTTTAATGTGAAATTATAACTTGATTTGTGTTAGGCATTTGAGAAAGTATAAAATCAGTGTTCTTATGGAGTAATAAATGTTTTAAATTGAATCATTTATCACTTTAATGTGAAATTATAACTTGATTTGTGTTAGGCATTTGAGAAAGTATCAAATCAGTGTTCTTATGGAGTAACAAATGTTTTAAATTGAATCATTTTCATCACTTTAATATTAAACTATAACTTGATACAGTATTAACAAGATGAGGTGGGATTCCTCCAGATATCCTCAATGTTTTTTTAGGAAGCAGAACCTATATCTGATTTACAGATTTTACCCTGGTTGTGATAGTTTTATTATGTAATTGTTGTGCAATTGTTATTACTAGAGCAGTATCTGTTTTAATGTTTTTTAGTCTGTAGAAAACAACTTTGCAATAGTTTGAATAAAAACTTAATATTGATACAGAATTAATAATGAATTCATGCTTATAAAGCTGAGATTGGTTTTTTGTAAACTGTAAGTTTTTCTTAGCATGGATACAAGGTCAAGACATACTTAGGCTAGAGCAATTTTAAAGAGTGATATTTTCAGCAGTAAGAGAGGGTCTCACAGGCTTATCTTACTTTGAATTGTTTCATTACATATATTTATTATTAAGGTACATTTAACAACCCATTGAACTTCAAAATTTCTTTTTGTCATGTGTGTATGGAGGATATTGCCTAGCTTGCTTGTACTGCATTTAAATTTTGATAGATATATTTTAAGATGAAAATGGTTGACAAAGCTGTCATTAATGGTCTAAGAGCTTAAAGTAGTCCAACTTTAAAATGTGATATATAGTTTAAAATTATACCTCATAAAACATGTGTATATTTAACTTTTCTGTGAAACAACTCTTCCATAATATGAATTCTAGAATTGTGACATTATTTAGAAAATCCAGTATGCTTGTTTGTCATATGTGTATATTTAACTTTTCTGTGAAACAAATCTTCCATAATATGAATTCTAGAATTGTGACATTATTTAGAAAATCCAGTGTGCTTGTTTGTCATATGTTTATATTTAATCAGATTGTTGGAATACTGTTATCTAAACGGTTTAGCTTATTTGCCAAAATAAAATGAAATGTATAACCAAATAGCATTAGGCAGCTAACTTGTGATTCAAAATTATTTGCATTTGTCGAAACCTGAGTTATTTCTGGTGTTTATTTTAGGGGGAACTATACAATAAATTAGAATTATAAACTTATTGCATATTTACAGATTTTTATCCTTTTAATTCAATATGATTTTTTTAAAATTTTAAACAGTTCTTTTCATGTTGAAAACTAGTTTTTACTCTGCTAAAGTAATTTGTTAATAAATTGCTTGTTTTTTGTTGATTTTAATACTTCAATAGTGCAATTCTAAAAAAATGAGCTTATTAATGTGTTGGAAATTTGTAGTATTTAACTCTTCCTATTTTATCTGTATCTCTCTTTTTCCACAGTACATATTTGGCGGTATAACGATTATACTGCTGCCAACAGAGCCATGGAAATGTACTGTACAGATCCAGAGCTTCAGAAACTTCAAAAAGATCGAGTGAAACTTATACGTAGTCAAGAAAACCAACTTATGCTAGCCTTTAGTTTCTGGGGCCACCCAATAGCACAAAAATGGGACTGCAATTATGAAATGAGGTCTTACATTTTAAAGGTAGTCAGTGTGATTCATGTAAATGCTTTTATTTTTCCTGTGACTTTAACATATTAGTACAAAAGTATAATATAGACAATGGTATAATCTTGTATGGAAAATGTATAGTTTTGCAGTATTGTAGTTTTAACACTTTTAGTATAAAATGGACCAATTTCATTTGTCTTGGAAGCATGAAACCATACATAGCTAATCAAAAACACCTTACGTATGATAGAAAGGTGCGGCCAAAAAATTATTGAGTGTGCGACTTAAAGAAATGAAATTAAAATTGGTGGCCAAACTGGTAGCTACACTTGTAGCATTGGCAAGAATTTTACAGCAAATATTCATTTGTTAGTTAGCTAGGCTGCATATTTTGTTTTTCCAGCCATTGGGCCCTATGTTGAATACTAAATAAGGTACTGCAAAAATCGTAGGGGTATTGAAAAGTCAATTTGTTTCTACTATATTTTACATAAGCTAAAAAAAACATTGTAACTGTAATGTGTATGATGCTAACATTACTCCTTGGAGTTAGCTTTTTTACAAATAATTGGTGTTCCTGTAAAAAGATTAAGTACAGGGTGAAAAATGAATTACCAGCCAATAATAGGTGAAAATTACATGACTAATATGTACATGCTCAATGTTTTTACTCTATATAATTGGTGTCTTTAGGAGCCAACCCCCATAATATGTATGAAGAGCAGGAGTAAAAGAATATCAATACACATAATATTAAATTTTATTGCACACACAGTCTTAGGATAATTACTTTTAATTAATTAAGGTTGCTTTTCTACTGGTAAAATCTTATATTCTCTTAGTGGGGATTGTGTCTTAGTCTAGGCATATATTTGTCCATTGCTATGCATTATATATATATAAATAATTTAGTTATACAGAAACAATAAATACTCACTATATTCTCAAACAACTCTCCATGACAATCTCCAGCTGCAGCTTAATATTTTACACCTCAAACTAATGCAATTAGGTAATCAATAGCTGCAGTAAATCCTCATAAACCATATCAGCATGCTAATAGCTAAGTTTATTCTCATTACAATGTATAAAGTTAGCTACTATATCAAGTAATCCTTTGCCCATAGTTGAGCATAAAAAAGCCAGCAAACAAGATAAGTAAAAAATTGGGAATTTAAAAACCTTCAAATAGGCATCTTAAAAAATTAAGAAAACAAGGCTGGAGATACTGTAGACATTATTTACTCAAACTACAAATACCTATTTTGACTTCATCAAATGTAATTCTAGGTAACAGCATGGAGCCAAAATAGGGGTTTGTAGTTTGAGTAAATAATGTCTACAGTACCTCCAGCCTTGTTTGCTTACTTTTTTACAATCTTTATTTGCAGGTTTTAAATTTTAAATTTTTTATTTGTCTTGTATCCTTGCTTTTGTGCATACATTTTGGTAACACTGCATTCCAACAATGGCTTTTATGTCATGTTGCTTAGCAACAAACATATAACCTAATATTTGTTGTTAGTCTGTGTACTGAAAGTATAAAATGAAATGTATAGACAACAACACTGGAAAAATATTTATTGATTTCTCTCTGTTGATTAAAAAGGTTTGTTTTTTATTAAAACGTTGATGATATAACAGAAAATAGAACATAAATGATTTAAGTTTAAAATTGAATTGATATTTTTACTTTCATGATGCATTTTATCTTGTACCTTTGCTTCTGTGCATGTTTTTTTCTCAGAATTAATATTTATATTGATATCTCATGCTTGTAATGTGGTATGGTTTTGGAAAAATGATAACGGTTACTTGGAACTGCTTTTCTCACTGTAGAAATTTGGATGATAAATCATGTTAAACACATTCTAATATGACACACCACATTACATGATTTATGTTTCAGTTTCAAGTTACTTGCCTTTTGGGTGAGAACTGATATCAGAGTGATAATTAAAGGTTTCTACATGTCCTATATGTGTTGGTACACCTTGCACTTAATATTTTTGCTGAAAGTTTAATGCACATTATTCAGTTACAACAAACAGCTCAAAGAATATGCAAGTGTTGAAAAAACATAATTACATATATAGTTATAGGATTATCTTCATTTAAAAATTAACTAAAACTATTATATATATGGTTGTACAGACTTGGTGATTTGAGTAATCTTTAGGCAAACTAAACTAAAAAAACAAAGGTTAGGAAAAGACATCTCAAAATACCATACATATGATTTTAATTATATTCTATTAATTAATGTTGTTGTTTTTGTACGTTATAAAATATGGTATATATACACACTTTTACTGTTTCATGTGTGAAATATTCTTGTGTTGTGTTTACCTGACACATAATAAACTGGTATCCTGAAGATGTATGAAATTTCTCATTTTATTTCATCTTTAAAGTAATTTTGTCAAATTTTGTGTTTACATGAATCATAAACTGTTATCTTGAAATTTCTCATTTTGTTTCTTAATATATAGTATAGTTGCTTCCATTTAAATGTTTAGATAAGTTAAAAACAAATTGTTAACATACATATTGGCCACTTTGATTTTGAAATACAAGATGGGCCATGATTTATACCATATTAAAGAAAATGAAACAAATATTAAAACAGCAAACCTTGCTTCATGATTTTGCTGTATTTGTATGAGAGTGACTCAATTTTGCACACTTAATCACTTTAATATTCCCATGTGTAAAAGTCACACAAAATAAAACAATATTAGTATTTTTTATATCTTTTACTGTTATTATTGTATACTGTTTATAGATAATTAGTGTTTACTTGTAGTCATTCTTTTGGTATTTAAAAATTGAGTAACTAAACTTTTTAAGTATAATAGTAAAAATATTCTGAAAGGATTTGTAGAGTTTTTATAATAGCATTTTAATTTTTCATGTGTTTAATAACCCACAGCATTGCCCATTCCACTGGGGGAAACTTGTGTAGTTGTTCACAGGAGCAAATGCCAGTTTTAGTATAGAATGGCTAGAGTTTAAAACAATGGTTATTTTTTGTTCTGGACAATGGATGTTTTTGTGATACTTTGTCATTAATTTTCAATACGCACGTAGTCATTTCATATGACATATTTATTCACTTGTTTTTCTCCTAGTTACTTTTTTTTTAATTTTTTTCAGCCAGGAACTATGATTGAATGGGGAAACATATGGTATGTTTTTTCCTTCTTAACTGCACGTTTTTATTTCTAACACTATTGTAAATAAGAAATGTGCTTTGCAAGTAAAGTTCACTATAAGCTTACATTTTTAATTGTAGACAAACTGATTCATATGACTGTTCAGGTTTCAGTAGATAATTTTAGCAATTATTAAATATTTAATTTAAAGGAAAATAAGCCTAAGTAGGAAATATATTGTTAAGCTTTAAGAGACTTTGAACATTTGATTAGCAGTCTCAGTAATTTATTAAGATGAAGACTTTGTGCTAGAGTTAAATCTGGATGTTTCAGTTTGTTCAAATGTTTTTAATTTGTGAGGTTGATGTGAAAGGAAATCATAAATAAACTTGGGTATGTACAGTGATACTTGGATAAATCAACATTGCAGTAAATGTTAACCAGTTTCACAAAACATTGAAGTATCTTTTAGATTGTGCTGTATGTTACTAGATAAAAACTGTAAAGAAGAATAGAGAGTTTTAGAATATTTGCATGCATGATACAACAATTGTGAAATAAAAGAAAATATTACTTATGCCTTTATATTCAACTATTGAGTATCAGAACCTGATTGTAACTTGTATCTTGCACAAAGCATTGACATTAACATTATTAACATATTCATAGAAATATTTACATTTTAAGCTTTAAACCTGGATGATATAGCTGAATGGTCCTGCTGAATGTTTCCTTAAAATAATGAAGTGAAAAGAAATTTACATCATTCAAAACACAGTAGCTGTATTGAATAAAGCATGTATGTGTTTAACAAAGTTGAAAGTTAGAATTCTTCCCAGTTTCAATTTGCACTTTACCCAGTAATTGATGTTTATATCTTTACTTGCTGCTACTGAATTGTACTTATTTCACTTTATGACACAGAAAAATTTAACTGTTTTTGAAGAATTTTAGATATTTTGAGATAGCTTTGGATATAACAGATGGTAAAAGTAAAGAGATGCTAGGTTGTAAGTTATTGTGATCTAATGTTATATTTTTTATACCCACTACAAAATTAAAAAAAAATAATGTTTTATCAACATAACTTTTGTCTTGAGCTGAAAATTCCTGTATAATTTAAATTATGTTATTTACATTTAAATACTGCTTATTGAATGAAATAATCTTATTTTTGTTGGTTCATTATGTTCAAACATTATAAAATCTCCCACCTCTTATTGTTTTGTACAAATTTATTTCATTTAATCTTGAGCAGTTATCTTTCATATTCTCATAACTCTACCATTTCAATTATCCTTCGAATACTTCTGAACAAGTTTTATCAATTTTACTGTTCAGAAAAAAGTTAACTGTTAAACACTTTCGTGTAAAACGTTTTGGTTGGCTTGGAGTTTAAGTTATAATTATTTTAAAATTGTTATACTGTGAATATGGCTCATCTACTACAGGTTTATTAGTCATACAATAATCTGTTAATCAACATTAAGTAAAGAATTACTCATTTCCAATACGATTACTTACCTCCTTTTAAAGTTGCAGCTATTCTCAATTTGACTGCTTTCTAATTTCATATTTTTGCTTGCTATTAGCCTTAAACTCCCATCTAATTCCATGTGTATACCATGTGATTCAGCTGTGTTTATGCATGCAAATTAGCATGAGAGAATTCTCCGCCAATAGGAGTGCAACACACCCTCCTATCGCAGCTGACACCCTCTAGGCAGTTGAACCCAATCATCACTTCTTGATTTGACAGGACATTGTTAAGATCTAGTGCTTGATTTCAGACATTATATTTTTTAGTACATTTTGAAAATATTCAGTCACTAGTTTTTGCATTTCAAAGTATATTGTTTATAATCCACTATTGAGTTAGATTTTTTTATTTGATTGTGAATACTATTTCTCACTCAATTGCTGGTAGTTAGTCAATATTTTTGAATTCACAATTTTTATTACGATTACAATGGATACTGACAGTAGTGCCATTTAACAGCCTGTGACAATGACTGCAGGTGTGGCATTATCAGCAGAGTAGTTCTTGAGGAGGTGGTTTATTTCATGTGGGCTGAGGGATCTCCTGATCTTTAAGCAGTTCTGCCATTACCTGAGGACTTTGATCAGGTGATCATTCCTTGGATGGGCAGGCATGTTCTCAGCCTTTGGAAGCACCTAGACTATGCCCACCATTGTTAGACTTGACATCGCAGGTATGTTGTGTTTTGTCTTTATCACCCGTGTCATTTGATTTCTTCCCTTCCTTATTAAATGCAGCACCTAGTTCTGAGTTTTTGATACCCTCTTTGCCTGATGTTGGGGTTCATGCTCAATATTTTGCAGATCAATTACGTATTAGTATGCTGTGCCACCCCATGTACAGCAGGCTCGTGTACTTGCATATCATTATTCAGCAAATCCTTTCTTGATGGACAACAATTGAATTCACTTCTTCCCCTTTTGGGAGTCAGACCCCAATATTTCATGGTGTTTTTCTGAAGGATAATTTGCTTACCTTTGTTTCTTACTTACAACGGTTCTTCAGTATTTGTCATCCATTCACCTTTTGTCATTCTCCTGAGGGTTTATCGGCAGCACTCTGAAATGATACAACCTAAAGCTATCTTGACCTTGATTTGCCCTCTAAGCAAAGCTAAAATTTTCAACAGTGCACCATTCTATTATATCCTTTCATTTTTGTGCCATTGCAGCAATGTGTGCTGATTATGCGACTATCCTTCACCAATCATACTGAAACCTCTATACTGGCACAAGTAGCTCTCTCTACCATTGCAGCACAATCCACACTTTTTTGATTGGAATTCTAATGTATAGACATGTGTTTTAACTTGTTCTCGATGTAACTACAAAATTTTGATTGTGCTTGATCAAAAATTTATATCAGTTTCGACTTCTTATGTTTGATTCCCATTGTTTCTACATTTTTATTTTTGAGATGTTTCTGTTTTCTGAATTATACTTTTTTCATATGAATTCGAGATTTATATGGCAGATGATAATCTTCCCGCCATAAGTAGACAATGGTTCTAACACTAGTCCCCATATCTCAGGGTCGACGATGTCTGCTGGAGAAGACGGGCTTTCATTCACAGGGAGTTCTAATCTTATGCTTGGCTGGCGATTTTTCTCCTTTCAAGTTACAATTTTTTGCAGAGGGATAGAATTATTCTGTGGAAAGTTTCTTTCTATGGCACCTTTCCACCTGTTACTGTGCCTCCTTGTAATCTGCTTGGTTAGGTATTGTTCTTTTTCCCAGGAGATCTGTGGTAAGTTTTCCAGTGTGTATTTCTCACTCCCTGTAGGTCTACCAAGGTTCAGTGATTTTATGTGGGCTCGTGTGGATGGATCTAATTTCTGAACATGATAATTTAGGTTATCCATATTCTTCTCTGCTCATTGTTGGGTAAGTTCGATTTTTATACTTCTTTTACCATCTAGGTTATTTTAGTTTAAAACTTGTATTTGGTTATTCCTTTATGTTTTATTTAAATTTTTACTTCTATTCACTGCTGATGTTATTTAGTTTTTAAGTTCTTTTTTATTTACTACTAGTCACATCTAATTGGGGATTGGTTTTTAGTCAAACTTTGTATTGTTAACTGTTGCATTTTATTATCTTGTTCTTCAGGGTAGGTTTCATTTTCTTGTCCTTTGTCTTATAGATTTTTTGAGTGGACTTATATTTAAAGGTAGTTTTTCTTCTCAGTTCCTTTAGTAGTCTTGTTTTTTAGGTGTTACATATTGTTTTATGTTTTAGGTCGAATTTAATAGTTTTGCAGGTTTGTTATTTTTATGTAATTTGTAGAATTAATACGTTTCTAAGTCTTGTTAGTTCGTTAGTAGTGAGTACTTTCTCTAAGTTCTTTAATTTTTGTGTCTTTTTGGCTACATTTTACAACAGTTCCATAGTTTATATGGGTTTTCTCTGTGGGTTTCTGCCTTCTGTTCGATTCCCCTCTATCATCTCCCAGATCTCTTTCCCTCCTCCTCAGGATTGTAACTAGTCCAGTCATCTTGCTGAGTCTGTTCGAGTCCTCTTACACAAAGGAGATATCTAACAGGTGGTGCCCACTCAACCGGGATTTTACTCATCTATTTGTTTTGTCTCCAAAAATATCGGAATTTGGAGTCCCATCATCGATTTGTTCTGGCTGTATCCATATCTGGTGACACCTCGCTTCATCATGGAGTCCTACTTCTCACTTTGGTGGGTTTTTGCCCCTGTGTCACATCTTTTTCTTTGGTTCATCTACCAGGATTATGTCTTCCAGTTTGGGTGCTACCATTCTGTCTTTCTTCAGATTATATGTTTGGTCAAATGGTACACTCTTTTGCACATCATCTTCACTCACTGTGTCTTCGAACTCACCATTTCTTAGATGACTGGTTTCTGCTCGCCTCTTCCTGTGTCCAGTCAGTCACTCATACCTGCTTTCTTCTATGAGAAGTTGTTTGGGTGGGGTTTCTTATGAAGTTGGAGAAGTCCTTTACTCCCCCCTCACAGTATCTTATTTATTTGTCATCAAGGGTGCCATTGGACAGGTTTGGCCTGGGTTATGACTTTTTATTGTCCTCAAGAAGACTTGAGATTGGCCTCCTGTGATTGATCTCTCCCATCTGAATCACTTCCTCTACATGCATCGGTTCACCATGGAATCCTAACTGTCTCTCAAATGAACCTTCTTCCAGAGCTTTGGATGACAAAATTCAACATGTCGAATACTTATCTTCACATTCCTGTTGCTCGGGTTTCACATCAGTTTCTATGTTTTATCCACAAGGATCACTTTTATCAATTCTGAGCTCTACCATTTCTGTTGGGTGGTCCAGTTGTTTGCCTGATTTTTTCCTTCTCGTGGGTTCAATTTCTATTATTTCATGGATTACTGGCTCCTTCTGGCTCCATTATTTGCAGAATCTTCCTCTCACACCCAAATTCTCCTTAGAAAAGCTGATTGGGTGGTTGGTTTATCAAGGGAAGAAGTCCATTTTCCATACCACTCAATATCTTGTTCATCTCTGGGTGTTTTTCAACTCACATCTCAGTTGAACCCAGCCTTCTCCTCTTCATCTGTAGTCCATGGAGTTTTTAGTTCAGAGGGCACTAACAGCACTTTCTTTCCCTGCATGAGATGTTCTGTCTTTTTTTTTTGGGACTTGGGCATCACTGGAGGCTCTTATCCCTAAGGATGATGCTTACATGTGTTCTTTGCAGTGGGTACTACTAATTCATTGGCATCTCCTCAGGGACCCTCTAGATTTACAGATATCCCTTCCTGCTTCTCTTCACTCTGACTTCCTCTGGTAGTTAGATAGGGACAACTCAACAGTGGGAATACATATTCCTTCTGCCTGTTTGGATGGTCATGATTCAGGAGGAGTTAGGTCTTCACATCAACCTTTGTCAATTTGATGGTTGTCTCTTACATCCATCTATTTCTCATGATATTTTGCCTATCACCCTTACCGGTTGAGTTCATCAGGTTATCCATATAGCATATTCCTCCCATTATCCTCAATCCTGCTAGTTGTTGTGTGTATCATCCCACCTTATCTGTCACCTCCCGATGTCCTTGGCCACTCATTTCCATTATTCTTTGGAGGATATTATTCAAGCCAGCTTGTGGACCACTCCCCACAACTTTGTGTTGCATGACTTGTACCATCTGTCACTTTCCTCCTCAGTTGGATATCATCTTCCCCCTGTAGCTGTTCTCCATATGCTGGTACAACTCCAAGGGGGTGTTATTTTTGTTTCATTTTGTTTTCAGGGGCCTACTTAGCATATTATGGATCCCACTCTGTGGTGAATGGTGCCTGTCATGGTATACTGATATCCTAAATATGAACCATGAGATCTGTATGGTCAATCATGCTCACTGTTGAGATGGGGTTTTCATAAGACCTATTGCAAGTTCTTCCTCAGGAATTAGCATGAGTAAAGCAGAAAGAGATTGCTTTTCATCTCTTTCTGCTCTAGATTGCCAGAATTGGGAATGGTCTGCTTTTCAAAATAGGGTTTCATGGTCACCCATTGCACTTTCTCTGACAATGCATTTCTCAGGACTCACCAATGCATTTCTTCCCCCCTTCTTCCAGTGGAGTATGAGAGTCTTTACCCTTCCCACCTCCTAGCTGCTGCGATGGTGGATCATAGAGGAATCTTCCTGAGTGTGCACAATTTCACTCAGTCAAGAGTAGATCAATGGTGTTCTGCCTATGTAGAAGGCATAACTATCCTCCTGCCATGAGTCAGATGTCTTGTTCCAGATGCCACCAGTCTGGACTGGATTTTTCCATCTATTTTGCAGTTCGACTCTCTACCTGGGAACCCTTCCTCCTTCTGCCACCTGAATTTCAGTTCCTAGGTGACTGGTTTTGGTTGGAGCTGGACCAGCCAACATAAGTCCCCACATATAAGTGGGCTGGACTGGAATTGACCCTCTACATTGCACTTCCACCTTTCTGATGTCATCCAAATGTAAATTCCCAGGGTATCCTGTTCCAGGGTGTGTCAGATTTGCACGCATGTTGGTTTAGGCTCTTTGAATGGAGGCTCCACTTCCCTTCTAGCTCCTACACCTGAGGTGAATGGTTGAGGACCTTCCTCCTCCTAGTGCCCAGTCGAGTTCCTCCCAGTGCCATTAGTCTGGACAGGAGGTGACCTTTTGATTCCAGTCCACCATGCCTTAGCCACTCTACCACACATTCCTGAATGTGGGATTCTAGCTATAGCTGTGAACGTAGGTAAGTAATTGTATTATAACTTAATATTTTCCTACACTGAAAATATATTTTTGATAGATACTTACTTCTCTCTCACACTTTCTTCCTGTCTTCCCCACTTCCACTGTTGTTTTTCATGTCTAATCTCAAAGTGAAAATTGCAATCCAGAAAATTTAACAGCTAAACATTGGCAGTACAATTGTTTCAGTTCTTTGAGTGGATGTCAAGGAGTGTTTCATGAACTAGTTCTGTGTCTAGTAATTTAATGAATATCATTGTTTGAAGTTTTTTTTATGAAAGTGGACATTGTATTGTACTTTAGGGCAAGAGCCATCACATACAGGAAAAAAAATCATGCTGTTGCTGGATTTTTCTCACAGATAGGACAATTGTATATGGTACATCATATATGGGGTGAGTTGATATTGGTTTAGCTTTTCCTTTTATTAATTATATTTACAAAGCAGAATTCCAACTTAATCTGATTTCAACAGCTGATGTCTAAAATATTGTAGAGCTGTAATATTTGTTATAATATCTGTAGAATATATAAAATTGATATGTACTTTTCTGTAGTATAAAGGATTTCAGAGTTTGTATACTTTTTTTAAAGTTTTCATCTATCGTTAGCAATATTAGCATACATGTGATGATATAGCTGTAAATATAGTAATTCATAAATATCTACAAATCGTAAATTGAGAAGTTAAGATGGCTGTTTTGTGGAATTTGTGTGTTAGTACTTTTAGAGACAGATACGAGTATGAATTTTTATCAAATCTGCATGTAGCCAATTTCTTTTTTTTAAGAAATTGTGAAAAAAAATCAATATAAGCAAACGTTATTGTTTAAGTTTGGATTAATTTTTTTTTAAATCGTAAGGCTTAACTAGCCTGATTAGGTTTTTAGCCACATTTAGGAAGAGTTATTAACTGAAATGTTTTGTGGCTTGACATTTGATATTTTGATCAATTTACAGATTGGACTTTTATATTAGAAACTATTGATGAAATTGGTGAATTCCATTTTTTTTAAATTTAATAATAAACTTGTATGAACTATATTTCAATGTTTTAGTAATGATTAGCATTTTTATTCAGTCTGTTGGAGAAATCTCCAATCAGAAGTGAAACTGATAAACTTGTGTGCTTGTATATAATACAGATTTATGTTTGTTAATTTTTTTAATGCTGTACTGCAAGTATGAAAAAAAAATCAGTAGTCAGTATCATTACCAATTCTTAAATTTGTGGATGTTTTTCACCACTTTATTGTTGTAAAAAGATGTTTTTTCTTTAACTCAGTGTTACAAGTAAGGGTGACATTCTTATAAACTGATATATCCAGATTCTTTGATCATGCTAGTTTGACACTTATCACATTTATTGTTTTCTGTTGTACTGCCAAAATACTTTGATAACCATCCACATAAATAGAAGCTCAAGAAGAGATGCTATAGAAGAACCAATTCTTTGTTTTCACACAAGTTTTTATCTGTTGTAAATTATAAAACTTTTGTTTATTTTATTCACAACGTTTAACCACATTTACCTGGCATCATCAAGTGGCATACAAGAACTGAGGCTAACGGAATTTAATTTAATAAAAGAGAATCATGTGAGAATCTATAACAGTAGTAATCTACAAGCATACAACTGACCAATTGTAAACAATAAAATAATTTATCAATGAACTGTCAAATTTAAGTGTAATAAAACTTTTAGGCTAGAGTCTAAGTATTAAAATATGTTCTATGTACAAAAGAGAAGGGAATTAAAATAGATGTAAATGAACATCTTTGTATTTTTTAAGAATAGGGTTATGTTTCTTAGTTAATAGGGCTTCTTTTATTTTTTGTGTATCAATGTTGCCTTCTCTGCTGAGCATTTTTACCAGGGAAGAATCAAAAGAATGGTTTTTTATAAACATATGTTCAAAAACATGAGATGGAGGTTTTAAATGTTTTCACGAATGAGTAGAAAGTTGTCTGTCAGTCTCATCAATATAACAATTTTTGCAATCTGTACATTCAATTGTATACACATTTCCTAAAGTATCATTATACATATATCTAACTTCTTTCCAGGTAAAAATATTAATTGTACTTTAATGTCAATTTTATACTTTCTGACTGTTTTTAAACAGATTTTTTTTGACAGCATGAGATAAGTTTGGGATGAATGGTAAAATACAAGTGATAGGGACATATTCAGTAGAATTATTTTCTGTGTCAGTTTATTTTTAAAAGAACCAATTATTTTATTAACAACAGTGGGAGGGAAATTGTTTTGTACACAAAACTGAAATCTAAGGTTCTCGTTTTCTTTTTTGAAACAGTCAGTGTTGGAACTTATGATTTTATTTGTATGGATAGCTCCTTTTTTTGGCATGAAGGTAATTCCAAGGAACATAAAGCCCAGTGTGAGTGTTCTTGTGAAATACAGAGATTTGGAAGCCTGTGTTTATCTTTTTAACACGTAGAAATGACATTTGTCATCAACTCCTTTCTCAATCATGAATTTTATGTTTTATGTCTGGTTTAGGTAACCTGAACATTATACATGATATGAGTTTCTCTCTCATTGAAGGCTGAAAAAATGTCATCAACATACTGAAAAATAAAATTTGTTTATAAAGTGAATTTGAGATGGCAGTGTCTTCAGTTTTTATCATAAATATATTGGCAAGTACTGGAACTACAGATTTCCTATACTTAGGCCATCAATTCACACCTTCAAACTGGAAATTGGAAGATTTTGCAGCAAGGAAAAACATTTTACTTTCATGAATGATGTTGTAAGAATTTGAATCCACATGTGAATAAGTGTGTTTATTTGATGAACTAAAACGTTCCTGAATAGCTATTCTTCTAGCAAAGTCTTTTAATCCTGTTTTAAATTCAAGTCTAGGGAGATTTCTGGGTGTGATAGCATAGTTGAAACCTTTTTTTTATAAAAATTTAATTTCATAAGTGGATAACTGGTGGCTGTATAGGTTAAAAACGACTCTATTTTTTACAATGTAGTGGAAGAGAAGTAGGCCTATTCACTTGAAGATATGATTTTTGTGGGTTTTTTTCATTTTTTAAAATTTCTTTGAATGCCTCTCAATTACACTCCTTTTGTGATTGGTGTCATTATTATTATTAATAAGTTGGGAAACTACATCATAATCGTTTTTAGGGAAAATTGTTCTTAAATTTTGATGTTGTAGGGAAATAGTTTTGTTTAACTTTGATAACAGTCTGTAATTTTCACCTGATAAAAACTTTAGTTTTTTCTAATATTCAATTCTAAGTTTTGTTGTTTCATGACACTCATGAAAGAATTTGTTCTAATAAAGAAACAAGCCCAATGTTGGAATATACACACAGGTTGTGTTTGTTATATTAAAACAATTTTTGAGCTTCATCACATTGTTACAGTCCATGTAATCATGTTTAAACATGCTCTGTATTATGACCATGCATGTTGACAATAGCCCTGCAGTGTAGTTTCCATTATAAAAGGCTCTGTTATAAAGTTATCATGTCCAAAGCACATTCAAGCTCCTCAAAGATGTTCCATAATACATCTAGTGTATTTTGATGGTTTTCCAGTGCCTATTTTAATAGTAATTGCACAGAAATACATAGGCACTGAGTCCTTTGAATTGATCACTATTTTCTTTTATATGGAATAGCACTTCTGCCTCTTTAATTCTCCAGATGCTTGAGGTATGAAACAGTTGAACAGGAGGTACGGCTGGATGTATTATCTTGGTGAACTCGTATCCTGTTGGTCTTGTTTTATGACAGAGATCCTTCGTGGTTAAACTGCATATCATTATCTAGGGTATGTAGATGGCTTTTGCAACTGATCTGTATGTTCATGGATTTTTACCTGTTACGAGACACTACACTTTGCTTACCATAACTTGTATATGACTTGTTTCAGATTTCCTTATGAATTGTCCTGGTGCCCCAAGTGATTCATATGTTTTTTGTTTTCAAGTGATATTAAGTACAAGAAATAATCCTGTCTTGGAAGTCCCAAATCTCTGCTCTGAACACATTTTTATGTTCTGAGTGCATGAATATTTTGTGTTGTAAATGGCTGTTACATACATATGCTGTCATAACCAGCACCATCTCCACATTTTCACTCGTTAATCACTTCTCGATTGATAATAGTACTGTACAGACATGCTTGATTTTGCTCACAAATTTCTCAACATTTTCTTTTATACTACAGACTTAGTTTTTCTTTACTGTGTTTTTGTTATTTCTTTATTTACAAGGGTCTTTTTGCTAGTGTATTGCAGATCCCACTCTGTGGTGAATGGTGCCTGACTAGGTATACTTTTTTTTTGGAAAATCTGCACTGTCCATCCTGTTACCATGCTCTTCCCACCGTGGACTTGATATATGATTCCAGATGCTGTCAGTTGTTGGTTGTGTGTCTCCTTTGAATTGTCATCTGTGCAGAAACAGTTACGTCACAGGATTAGGTTGTGCACACTGTGGAGATGGGGGTGTTCTGTAGGACCATTAGTAGTTCTCTCTAGTGATATTTTACTTCATAAATATGTTCATCCCAGACTGTAAACTTGTGGACAAACAAGTAAATCAGGCAGGGATTGCTCCCCATCTTTGATGCCCTGTGGTGTTGTGACTTTCTACCATGAACCTAATATACAATTCCAGATACCACCGGGTGTTGGTTGATTGACTCCGTTGACATGGTAGCTCTGCTTTTGAAAATAGGGTATTGTGGTCATCTGTTGCACTGTCTCTAGTGGTGCAGTCCTCCAGATTCTCTGATGCATTTTCCCCTCCTTCCTTCTAGTGGAGTATGCAAGTCCTTGTCGTTTACCAGTTCCTAGTTGCTGGGGTGGTGGACCATGGAGGCTTGTCCTCCTGAGTGATGAAGTATACCACTCAGTTTAGAGTAGAGTGTTGGCATTCTGCGGGTGTTGATGGCATATAGCACTTCCCTACTGCAGACCTGATATACAATTCCACATATTGCAAGGTTTTGGTTGTAGCACTACACCTTATTGACTCTCTCAACATGGGGTCGGTCAATTTGACTGAGTCACGTGACTTTTTGTATTCGTTTAAAGTCTTTATAAATTTAATACTTATAACACTCAATATTGTGTATATCTTCACAAAATTTGGCAGTATTTCAGTTAATATTACAAGTCTTTCACTTACAAAAACTAATATTTCTTAGTGAAGTATTTTTAATAAAATAAAGATTTGTCCATGAATATATTGAGTATTTGTTTTGAATAGTCTGTGTGCAAAGTAATTTTCATGTTAAAATTAAAAATACTTTCATCATCTCAAAAATACCAAATTTCCTTTGTGTAATTCCTAAAACCTCCTAAAGCTTTTGAAACTTTTTTCACTAAATCTTTATAGTTTATAT